ATGACGTCACAGGGTGCCTGGGGTGCCCGATGATGATGTCAGTGCAGGTGGGGGCGCCAATCGCGCATTTCGCCTGGGGCGCCAGCTGCCGCAGCCCGCCTCAGGCCACTCCTGGCAACATCCATGGTCTGGTATGCTTTTAGTTAGCCAGATGTCCACTTGTCATGGTTGTGGGCAAGTTTCCTGTGGCCCCATAAAGTTTGTTTAGAGCCACCAGTCATGGCTCTCAGTGTTTTGTGTTATTATTTAGCTCTAATTTACCCCTACATGTTATAAGAGCCCGGTAAGCGGTGGAAGTGTTGGTAATGCTGCTAGACAATATTGAATTCCCATGTTTCAGCAAATTCTCTGGTTCAGCACCAGTCAGATCCCAAGGGTGCTGGACTAGAGGCAGTAGTGGGGGTAGAGGGGTGCAGGCCTCACAGGGGAGTGCATGTAGTCGACAAGATTAATTGATAAGCCCAGGTTAATCATGCAGTCATCTAGACATTGCCATCCCGACTCACCACAGGTATGCCATATGTCAGGTGCATGTATTTATAAGAGATTACTTAACTTTTGCACTGCTAGTATTTGTCGATGGTTATTCCAGTCTAGGGGTGGGCAAAATCAGGCCTGAGGGCTGGATCTGGCCCACCAAGCATTTCTCTCCAGCCGGTCCAGCTGATTAGCAGGGCATGCATATTTGCGTCCGGCAGCATGTGCTTTGCTGCCCTTCTCTCAACCTTGCTCAGTCCTGCAGCCTTGCTGCACCCAGTATTCTCCTGCCAGCTGTGCTGAGCAGGGAATGAGGGGGTGGAGGTGAGAGGGAAGTGCTGAAGTCAGGGTGACCCCCTGCCCCTGTACCCCATCTCTGCTGAGCAGCGGTCAAGGAGAGGGAGACACACAGTGGGACTCTCAGAAGTATGGATGGTAAGTGACTCAGAGGAGTGCCTGTCTTAAGAAACATTGCCCTCTTTTTTTCTAAGATTTCAGTGCTCATGCTCTCTCTCTCTCTTTCTTTTCCTCTCCCCTCCCCCATATTCCATCTCTGCAGAGCTGGGGAAGGAGGAAATAGCAGAGCCACACACACACAGCCACAGCCACACACACTTTCTTGTCTCTGTGCCACACACACTCAGTCTGTGTCTCAAAGTCTGTCTCTCACACAGAGAGCATTTTTCACATTGATACACTCTCTTTTTCTCTCTCTCTCTGTAGCCCCCCCCCAGTCCTTTCGCCCAAGGTCCCGCCCCTCCCAGGGGCTGGGGGCTCTGGAACCGGCCTGTGACCATGTACCAAAATTCATGAAATGGTTCCCTGTGAAAATTATTGGCTGCCCCTGTTCTAGTCATTCTGGCTCTCACAGATATAGGTTGTTGCCTACTAGCTGTTTCAAGAATCAGCTCTCACTATAACGTCTTTCAGTGCCCTAATGTGCATGGTATACCCTATGTTCAGTTAAATGGTATGTGCATGGCCTTGCTGATTGAACGTTGTATGTTCTGCCTGCAGTATCTAAACGGGGGAGTTGCTTAGTTAGTGATAACCCTATATCGTGGGACAGGAACATAGAGAGGTTAACTTGGAAACTGCATTTACTTCTGTTTCCTCAAGTTGCATAGTATCATGATCCCCTTTGGTAATTGGAGAGGTGGCTCTGACCATTCCCTTTATCAAGTTCCCATTAAGGCTAGTCACACCAGACCACTAAGCCAAAGAATGAGGGGCTGTGTTATTAACAGAGTGCAGTCAGTCAATAGATACTTGTATCCTAGGAAAGTTAAGAATTAAGAATTTGATCCAACTCTGCCACAATATAATTTTAAACTTAAAAAAAAAATCCATTCTATCACTGGGATTCCACTTTACATTGTAGAGACTTGTACATAGATCTCAAGATATGATTTATGACATTTACAAGAAACGTCCTGGGGAGAAAATACCAAGGGAAGCAGTAGATCTGCCATCCTTCGATTAAGAGTGGATGTCTTTCTAGCAGATATGCATTAGCCAAACACAAGTGATTTGGCTTACTACAGAGATAACTGGATGAAATACTGTGGCCTATGTCACATAGGAGGTTAGATTAGATGATCTAATGGTCACTGCTGGTCTTAAAACTCAGTGTTTTTGCAGGTCGACTAAAAACAAAATTGATGAAACTGTAGGCACATTTTTATTTATAAATCTGTTTTAATTTAAAGTTTTTGGGGCCTGACAGTGGCTCCTTTCCTGGGTAAAAGCCTTACTGAAATCAAAGGGTGCTTTGAGAGACAGGAAGATTAAGATTGATCTTAGTAAAACAATGCCTAAGAAAGACAATTTTTTTTAAAGATTTGGGGAAAAACAACTCTGGGAGAAAATATATGTAGGAAGAATGTTGTTATCCAAATTGGAATCTGTTCAGGTCCTTAAGTTTTAACACTACTGCTCTTAAAAAAAGTGCCATAGGTCTTAAATGACCACAAGTGGCCAAGACCTTTGTTTCACATCTCTGAAAATATTTTTAGTAGTGTTTTGTGTTAAGTCCTTAACAATTCTTATTACTGTTTCATTCCCTTAAAAAAATAAAGAAATCATTCCCTTTAAAAAAAAGTTTAGATTTCTGAGTAGTGACATGACCAAATTTTGGTATTGGGAAGGGTATTGTTGATTATTATTTTTTTCACATGGGAGAGTAATGAATGAATATATATGTCTTGCCTTACCCTCTGGGACTAGCTGAGACCTTTGAGAAGCCTTTAAATGTATGAAGTTTGTTAATAGGCCTGGGCATATATAGATGATGCTCATTAGCTCAAAGCCTGTAGTAAATTGCACAAAGACACTCCAGTGTCAGAGGTGTGCTATATTAGAACTATATTACTGAGTAATATATGCTATGTGCTTTTGGTAGCATGTAGGGTCATGATGTCCTCAAGCCATTCTACTATGCTAAAAGCAGAATAATTTTTTTAGTAGTAAAGAATCATAGAATGCAGATTGCATTGTGTTTGGGATCTGAATTAGCCCCCCACAGAAAAAGCATTTCTAGAGTATGTCCCATATTGCATATAACATGCCCCACGGGAGAGCAAAATATGGACTAGAGAGCCAAAGTCAGTCTTCAGTTATTCCCAAGTTATACCAACTAGGGATGTTAAATTTAGTTTAATCGACTAGTCGATGGAATTTCCATTGACTAGTTGATTAGTTGATAAGTGGGGGAGCTGCAGAGGGGTTAGCTCCTGACCCCAGGACCTAACCCTGCTGCAGCTCTGCCTTTTACATGTATTAAGAGCCAACAGAGGTGCAGCATCTGAGACAGGGTGTGAGCTGGGAATCAGCTGATTCCCGGTTCATGCCTGGTCCTCACTACCCCTCTGCTTCCCCTGCCCCCAGTGGAAACATTGCTGGGGGGCAACCAGCTTTTAAGCTGGTGCCCCCAGCACTGGCTTCTGCTCCCCCCTTGCTGCCTCTGATAGAGGCAGCAACCGGGGACCGGGGGGAGAAGTGACCAGTCAAGGAACTAGTTGACTGTCCAATATGCTTATGGTTATCAGACAGTCGATTAATTGCTTACATCCCTAATACCAACATAACTTCACTGAAGTCAGTCTGGATTTTACACCCATGTTACATGTAAGTCAGATCATGGCTCACATGAGAAAACCTGTGTAAGGCCCAAGAAACCAGCAAAGAGCTTCCTCCGAATTCCTTTTTCAGAGCAGCAAGGAGGGTTATACCCTTCTCTGGAAGCAACAGGAGACTTGGCCACCTGAGATCCTGGCAGGCCTTGAGGCTGTACTAGAAGCTCTGTGCTCCTTCTTAGCTTTATACTGTTCTCTGCTCTGCAAGGACTTCTTTTGGTGCAGCGGTCTCTGGAATCCGCCCTTCCCAAACTCTTTAAAGATGAATTTTGCAGCTAGGGTTGCCAGGTGTCCAGTTCTGAACCGGACAGTCCAGTATTTGAGCTTTCTGTCTGGGAAACAAATTGAGAAAATGAATTAAGTACATTTTATTATTATCATGATAATCAGTATGTAGTTGCGTACTGCCTGGCTGGTAGACATGCTCACACAGCGTGAGCGTGTCTACCAGCTAGGCAGTATGCAACTACACAGTAGAGAGGAGAAGGGCTGAGCTGGGGCGGGATGGACATCACCTCAGAAACTACGTGTGCCCGGGCCAGCCCCATTCCCCGCCAACCAGTTCCCCCAGCTCTCCGCCCAGCCAGCCCTGCTTCCTGCCGGCCAGTTCCTCCCTCCTCCCGATCTCCCCGGCCAGCCCCGCTCCCCCCGACCTCCTCCCGGCCAGCCCCTCTCCCCCCTGTGATCTGAGATCAAATGTATCCGGTATTTTTTTGAAACCATCTGGTAACCCTATTTGCAGCCGAGATTTGCTCAGCTCAGGAGTAAATAAACCTGAGGCTTTTCATAAAGCCTCAGCTTGTAGGTAGTTCATGTAGAATTGGGGATGATGTGTTCTACCATGCCCCACATGTGCCTCTCTGACCCTGAGCAGTATCTGACACCCTACTCTCCACATGGGTTGGGGAAACTATGAGTTGGTCCACTCTAAGCAGTGTGTGTATTTTGCTTACTGAATGTTATTAGTTGATAGGCATTTCTGTGAAGTTCCTCAACATAGTTTTTGAGTGCCATACAATAAGAGAGTATAATTGTTTTCTAAAATATTCCAGCACTAACAGATCGACCCAATGCTATGCTATTAAATGGAATTAGCAAACTGGGTCTCTCACTGGGACCATACATTGGAACTCACAACACAGTAGAGCCCAAATTCCCTTTTATATTTGTGTAATAATGCTGTTCGTACATTGGAACTCGCAACGCAGTAGGGCCCAAATTCCCTTTTATATTTGTGTAATAATGCTGTTCAGATCATATGCAAATTGTTGTTTCATAGTCCCTGTGCAATGGCTGTTCTTGAAAGTGATCATATGACTTCAGATTTGAAGCAAATAACTTGGGCAGCAGATCTTTCTCTGTTTGAGATTCTGGGAGCATAGAGACAGTACAGCTCCAGCAACAGCATCTGTTCAGTTTAGCTCTGTGTCTGTAGTGCTCTGATCCTGTAACCAGCTGGAAGATGGAAAGCAGCTCTTTATCGTATTGTATTCATATTTTAAGCAGGGCTTAAAAGATTTCCACAGAGGAAGCTAAGGAGGGCACCAGTATTGCAGTCTGGGATCCTTAAAAGGACTGATTCCAAAAAGAGACAGTTTTTTTCTTCTTCTAAAGACACTTGTGTGGAAGCTCTCTTCATTGCTGAAGCAGAAGAAAACAGGTAATTTACGTGGGGAGTGCGGGTGGGTGGAAGGGTTAGGATCACTTCTAATTCACTATTTAAAGAGCAAATTAACTGCAAGACAGCTTTGTACAATGAATGACAGAGAGTGTATGGTAATACAGATTATTTTGTTTACTGCTATGGTAAAAATCAGAGTGGTTCATCTTAAAAAGTTGAAAATGGTTTGGACCAGCAATCCAGGAATTCTGAGTAGATGGGGACAGAGTGCTTTGTGATCTGAAGTTGTGAAACATATTTCATTTACTTCTTTGTTACCAAAAATGCTATACTTTCCATGATGCATAGGAATTTGGAGTTGCCTTTATTACTGCATTTGTTCTGTATTGATTCCTGGCCTGGTTTTTGAGATGCATCACCCATGGCAATGTACAGAAATAGTTTGGTCAATTCAATATTGAATTCAATTCAAGACATTAACTGGCTCTTTGTTACATACAATATTTATTTTATTAATAGCTAGAAGATGTACCTGCCATCGCTCGAATCCTTAACTCAATTAATTTTTGGTTTTTGGGAAATAAAATGTAAATGTTCAAGCTTCATTTAAATCATTGCTCTAGGGTGGGGCACGGGATGTGAGGTTCAGTAGTCAGGCTGCCTCAGGGAGAGAGGACTACCCCAGCCCTCTGTCACTGCAGCAGCTTGGGACCAAGTGAGAAGCACTTCTCCATGGCCACTGCGTCTCCAGCAGGCACATCCAGGGAAGGGGTGCATGTCGCCCATCTGTGGCAGGTTCAGATTTCGTTTGCCCCCTGCGCTCCGCAGCCAGAGTGAGGAATGCAGCAGACTGTGAACTTTTCCCTCACTCCCTGACGAAGGAACAGCCAGCAATGTTCCTGTGTGAATCAGGGTGAGGGGAGGAGGGGAACTTCAGTCCTCCCTTGTCTTCCCTACAGAGCGTGGGGGGGGGGGAGGCTCAGTGCTGGGGCAATCTCAGCCAGCCCAGTTCACCTGCCTGGTGAGTCTGTCTCTTTTCTGTTTGGTTTTATGAGAAGCAATCACATTCCAGGCACATCCTGTTTTTCTGGCACAACCAAACTCTTACCTTGCTTTAAGTTATGATAAGAGGAAGCTGTATAACACATTTTGTAGTTCTAGTTCTTACAGTTTAGGAGTTCTTGAACAAATGGCCAGATAGGCAAACTCTCTCAAATATACAGTAATTATATTGAAACAGAAAGTGAAAGTAGGTATATTGAAATATAATGTATTTTATTTCTTTCATTCACATTTATAGTCACTGCAAATCACTTAAATAGAAATGCTAATCATACCTTATGTGAAAGACCTTATTAGAAAAATAATCAGTACATGAAAAGCTTATTACTCTTAAAAAGCTACTGTTCACATCCTCTTCTTAACTTCAAAGTTATTTTAAGTACTTCACTGTTGATTTTAAGGATGCAATCTTATGAGGTTCTGAGCACCTTCAACTTCCATTATACCAAAGGGCATTTGAGTGTATTTAACAGTTTGCAGTATCATGCCCTAAATGATTTATTGCACATTTTTATCAGTCTTGATTTACAGTGTTCTTCCCTTTAACTATGGCAAAATGTCTAGGTATCTCCAAGGAAAATAACATCCAAAGTGGACAAATGCGACGTTTGCTAATGGATATCCTATCACCCAATGCATTTTCATATCTATTTTTAAAAGTCCTGTTTAAAAAATGGTAAATGCTTCTTAAAATTACATGTTCATAACAAATGGGCTACATGCATACTCTGTACAAGAGGAGTCCTGGAGCAAGAAGTTTGGATCCAGATTCTCTTGAAGTTCATAGCTGGTCTGATCCCAGGCTGTGATACTGCATATCATTAGACAAAATCTTAACCAATGACTAGTATAGTGGATGCAAATGCTATACAAAACAATAAAAAGAGATAATGCTATAAATCCAGAAGGTTTAATTATATTTTACATAGAAAAATTGAATACATTAATGAAAAAATGTGGAAGACCGGCTCTTGCACAAGAGGGTGTTTTTGTGCAAAAAGGAGCTGCATAGATGGCTCCTTTTTGTGCAAAAGCCTCTTGTGCAAAAACGGTCCCTAATTAATTATGCAAATGAAGCACAACAATATGCTAATCCACGCTTCATTCGCATAGGCTTTTGCGCAAGAAATATGCAGTGGACTCTTGCTACAGTTAAAAAGTGGAAGCCCCGCAGGGAGTGCAACACCAGTGGGGGACTCCCTGTAGGCCCTGCACTCCCGTGGTGCCTCAGCCTTTGAAATGTACAAGAGCCCCAGCAGCACAAACAGTGTGAGCGGAGACGGCTTCAGTCCCTACTCGCGCCGTTTCCTGCTGTGCCTATACTACCCCTGCCCCCCGTGGAGAAAGTGCTGGGGGGAACTGGCTTTTAAGCCTGCTCCCTTCAGGACCAACTCCTGCTCCACCCCCCTTCTTCCCCCCTCCCCCGCTGCCTCTCTCTAATAGAGGCAGTAAGGGGGGGGGAAGCAACTAGTCGCATCAGTAGTCGACTGTCTGATAAGCTTCTGTCAACTAGTCGACTAGTCTCTTAGGGTATGTTTTCACTAGCCCCCCTAGTTCGAACTAGGGTGGCTAATGTAGGCATTCGAACTTGCACATGAAGCCTGGGATTTAAATATCCCTGGCTTCATTTGCATGTTCCCGGGCGGGCGCCATTTTTAAATCCCCTTAATTCGAACTGACTGCCTGCGGCTACACGGGTGCAATGAGGCGTAACAGTTAATCCGAACTAATGACTTAGTTTGGATTAACTTCTGACTGCCGCATGTAGCTGTGGGCAGTCAGTTCGAACTAAGGGGATTTAAAAATGGCGCCCGCCTGGGAACATGCAAATGAAGCCCGGGATATTGAAATCCTGGGCTTCATTTGCAAGTTCAAATGCCTCCATTAGCCACCCTAGTTCAAACTAGGGGGGCTAGTGTAGACATACCCTTGCATTCTCAAGCAATATATTTATACCCCTCCCTGGTCATCAGTCCAAGTTTCCACTTCTTGTAAGCTTCCTTTTTGTCTTCCCTATAAGAAGTGCTTAATTTGTAATGAAAGAGGTGCTGGGGCTCAAGCAATTTTTATATTTTGTTACTGACATGGCAAGCCTGAAGGTGCCAGGACTATGAATTGTCAAGCCTAGAGGTGCCAGGCCTGAGCCCTAGCAAGCCCTTGCACAAATTAAGAAATCTCAATAGACACCGTTTCCTGTAAACTGAGCACTTGGGCATCTGTAGTAGGTCAGGACTGTAATATAGTAAATGCAGAATTCACTGGTGTGGCGTCCGGACAGGTCTTCTGCTCCATCAGTGATGATAAATATTTGGCTTCGTGTGTTTTTGTATGCCCCTTTAGTGTATCATGCCAGCTCTGCACATGTAGCTAGCATGATAGACTTCACAAGAGCCTCCAAAGACCATGGACTCAGATAAGATATGAAGGCACCTGAGTCAGATTTATTGTACTTTATGAACAAAATATATTAATAGTCATCGGTAGTCTCAGAGCCCTATGTGTTTGTACCCGTGACAATCTGCATGGCTCAGTCTGGACTCAGATAAGATATGAAGGCACCTGAGTCAGATTTATTGTACTTTATGAACAAAATATATTAATAGTCATCGGTAGTCTCAGAGCCCTATGTGTTTGTACCCGTGACAATCTGCATGGCTCAGTCAATAGTATGGATTTCACTATTGCCTCCTACACCAGCCAGAGTTAAATCGAAGTACCTCAACATTTCTAGTTAAAGATAAACTATTTATGATATACACTGTAGGCTGTGTTTACACTGGGCCACTTATTCCAGAAAATCAGCCGCTTTTCCGGAATAAGTTGCTAGCTGTCTACACTGGTCCTTGAATTTCCGGAAAAGCAACAACGTTGAACTGTACAAAATCAGCCGCTATTCCGGAAAAACTATTCTGCTCCCGCTCGGTCATAAGTCCTTATTCTGGAATACTGTTCCGGAAAAGGGCCAGTGTAGACATCCCAGTAGTCTTTTCCGGAAAAAAGCCCCGATCGTGGAAATGACGATCGGGGCTCTTTTCCGGAAAAGCACGTCTACATTGGCCACGGACACTTTTCCGGAAAAAGGGCTTTTCCGGAAAAGCAGCCTGCCAGTGTAGATGCTCTTTTTCCGGAAATACTTATAACGAAAACTATTCTGTTTTAAGCATTTCCGGAAATTCATGCCAGTGTAGACATATCCTGTAAGTATCATCTTAGGCATTACTGACACATTTGGTACCTGCCTGTGTATTGAATGTTTCCTCTAAAACATTCAATAGCTGTTGTTATGCTTTCACTCTTGTTGTTTTAAACTATTTTATCATGTACTAAGTTGGGATGTTCTTGTGCTGTCTTGGTGCATATTTCATGTGCTTTTAGTAGTGCCTAGCTGTTCTAATGTCGAGAGACACTGTCTTGCAGGCAAACAGCTGCTATTGACACAGTCTGTCTGTTACTCATAGTATAACTCTTGCTTACTTTGGTTCAAGCACCAGGCCCACGCTTCAGGCTCTTTCCTTGCCTTGCCTTGCCTTTCCTTTCCTTTATACATCACCCAGGAGAGATTCTAATGTTGCCCAGCCTATTAGCAGAGTGCTGACAGCTGTCAACATGTGTTTTTCCTGGTGTACATCTACATATGCCTCCATGCACATAACAAAATTTATTCTGCATAGTGATGGAAAAAATTAGAGGGCTTATTGGTGATAGGGTAAGAATAAGAGGTAAGAGGCTTGTGGGTTTCATCTGTGTGGCCGCTGAACCCCAAAGCCTGCTCTGTCTTTTATCTGACTGTATACGGGATCATCTGTGTATGGCATAACTAATATACTGCTGCAAATATATGCTGTGTTTTACAAAACCATTGCATTCCCTGCCCCCAAAGATCTTGTCATCTAAATTAATTAAAAGTCAAACATGAGTTTTCAAAAGTGTCCTCTAATTTGGGTGCTTCAGTTTTCATATATACACTACACTACCTGTTACCTTCCAACCTTTATAAAGGAAACAGAATACTGGAGGTATCCCGAAATAGCTATTCTGCATCTTTTGAAACAGCTCGTTATTTCAAAATAACATTCAAAATAATGGGCTTGCTGTTCTGGCATCCCCTTGTTTCACAAGGGTTAAGGGACGTTTCAGAATAGTGGTTTATTTTGAAATTTGGTACTATGTACATAGCGCCAAATTTCAAAATTAGATCAAAATAAGATACGCAATTTGTGTAGCTCAGATTGCGTATCTTATTTTGACCTACGGGTGCAGTGTAGATGCAACCTGAAAGATTAAGTGCGATGTACTGATAAATGGTAGGATGAATCATATTAAAATGTTTTTTTGGTTTAATAATTATAATATTATTTGCATTTAATTATATATTTGTTAAATTCTGATGCACTAGTCTTCAAATCACAATAACAAAAAGAATTTCTCTGCAGTTTCCTGTCACTGGTAGTAAAACTTTCAATAGCTCACTGGTACATATTACTTTCCAGTCAGTATGTAGCATTTCATTCAGAAAAGAAAACTTTATTTATAGATCTTCATCTGACCCAAATGCAGGCAACAGCAATATGAGGCTACTGCTGCTGAGTTCTGGAAAATAACCCTACACTGTTTGTTAGGTTCAGTTTTCACATCACATGACATACAGTATTTCATAACGAGCTTTAATGATCTCTGCTGAGTTGCACAGTAGATACCATGCTGTTAACCACTTTCTTTTTTGTTACCTCCCCCGGCACCTCTTCCTCATTAGCACTCATAACAGGAGTGAATCGGCTTGGGGTGGTTCATTGCATCATAAGTGGAACATAAAGGAAATTCTTGTAACACTGTTGGATGAGAAAAATCCATTGCCTATGAAGCGAAATTAAGTTGATGCACAATCTGTACTAGAGCCATGGGATGTGGCACTTCTATGACTCGGAGTCGGGCAAAAAAGTCAGAGAGAGGTAGGTGACACACCTGTATCATTTGTCATCCTTGTTATCCTCTGTCAACAATGTAAAAGAATTAAAGGGTTGCACTCCCCCCCCCCCAGTTCTGTTACCAGGCAATGGCTTAGATTAAATGTTGTTTTAAATTCTCTTTTTAAAAGGATATTAGATTTTCAAATATTGGTTAAGGTTTGAAGGTAACTAGCAGAACAACTCTAATAGTTAAAAGGAAACTAAAATGAAACAGTTACCTCAATAATGGTCAGAATCAGTAATTGCACTACAGAAAGATTAATCTACAAAACAGTGTTTTCTTTAATTTCTTGCCTAATGTCAATTAGTTGGTTGGATGACAAATCTCTTTGGTACTTCAGTAAAAATTCAAAGTTAATACTGTTAAAAAAAATGTTACATTGTAGTATATGATAATAGTGCTTGGCACAGAGCTGGAATGTGCCTAGCTTTTGCACTGTGCTGAGGAGTGGGGGAAGCTTGAGAAGCCAAACTTTTCCCCTTTCACATGCCTTGCACAAGCTTTATTATTATGCATTACATTACAGCCAGTCCCCGAGTTGCGAACAGTCGACTTACATCCGTTCGCAGTTACGACCAAAAATGTCGTAAATAGCGGACCCCGAGTTACGAATGCAATCCGCGCTTACGAACAGCACGGTCGCGTGTAACTCAATGGGGTCCGACTTACAAACAAACTGAGTTACGACCAATTGCTTGGTCCATAACCGGTTCGTAAGTCGGAGACAGACTGTAGTACTTAAAGGCTCAATCAGGAAGCAAAGCTTTCATGATGCTTGGTGCTGTACATAGTAAGAAATAGTCCCTTCCTTGAAGAACTTTGTAGTCTGCAAGACAGAAAGGGAGGGGAATTTTTCTGCTCGTTTTACAGATGATGAACAGAGACACCGGGACAGATATATTAAATAATATGTCTAAGGTCACAAAAAAGGATGAACAGAGATGGAAATGCCACTGGGGTCTCTTGAATTGTAGTCCCATGAAGACAATCTGTGCTCTCTAGTTCAATGAGAATTGCAGTAATATGCTGGGGAGGAGGGTTAGGGTTAGAGGGTGGTTCAGGGACCACTCCATCAGACAATTCCTGAGGAAACAAATGCTCCAAAAGAGGCACAGAGGAGGAAGTGGACCATAGTTCCAACTGCCTTCCACACTAGACTGCTGAGGCATAGAATAGCCTGCCCTATTCTAAAGTTGGATTGAAACTTCTTGTACTTGTTTAATAAAGCTTTATTGGCTCTATACACTCTTTTTCCAGTGCGGTTCTGTGCTGTCAGACATTAAAAATACAAGTTGCCTGTGGCAATAATTAAATCATGCTGATCTATGATTTCATGTATTTTAAAATCACACTTTTAAAAAGAATGATGTGATCTCACAACACATGCACTGTCCCTAAGCTATATATCTCTTCTTATCAATTAACAGCATGCATTTTATAGGGAACTGGCTGGTTTAAAGTTCTCCCATAAACAATGAAAGACTCTTTTTTTTAACTTGGGAGCTTTACTGTGCCAGATCAGTTTGTGAAGATGGTGTTCCATCTAATTTGTTTGCAACTAAATGACCATAATAACATGAGTGCTACTATTAACAAGTATGCAAATGAATATTTATATTCTGAGTCTTTTATAAGGCACAATTTTCAGCACAATTGCTTTTGAAAATCATCCGTTATATTCTTCATCTGAAGTGGACTATGTTCGGTGTTTCTGTGATGGAACTACAGGCAGTCCCTGGGTTACTTACAAGATAGGGACTGTAGGTTTGTTCTTAAGTTGAATCTGTATGTAAGTCGGAACTGGCGTCCAGATTCAGCCGCTGCTGAAACTGACCAGCGGCTGACTACAGGAAGCCCGAGGCAGAGTTGCTCTGCCCCGGGCTTCCT